AAACTGCCTAAGATTGGGCAAAAACCTCAGAGGGACAGAAGAGTAACCAGAGTGTGATGGGGCTGAGGAGAGGAGGCTTCCTGGAGGAGGCGATTTGGGACTCAGTTTGAAAGGGTCAGTGAACATTAGGGAGGGAATGAGATATGCAGAGCTCACAGGAAGGGGAGCAAATTATTGTGTTGGCAAGTACAAAGGAACTTCCCCAGGGGGATGGGAGCCTGCATTAGGGTTTGATGAGAACAAAGTTGGGAAGAGATAAAAGGTGGTAGGGAACATCTCCCCAAGCAAAATAAAATCCAGAAGCCATTAGCCAGAAACACCTGAGGTGGTGACATCAAAATTCAAAATTCCTATATAACAAAGTCAGTATAAACAAAGCTAGTGATTGCCTGACAGGATATTTGCAACAAATAATAAAGTGTTACTATCCAGTCTATATAAAGAAAGAGTTCCTGGAAATCAATAGGGAAAAAAAGACCTCCAAAAAACACCTGACGAAAAAGGACGCAGCAGATAGGAATTAACATCCGCTGAAGATAAAATGTAAATACTCCATGTGAAAAGATGTGATTAGGGCAACGCAAACAAAAACAATGAAATATTTTCACCCACTAGACTGGGAAACACCAAAAAGTTCACGAATACCCAGGGCTGGCAGGTGCCAAGAAAGAGACATCTTCACGTTCTGTGAGCCTCTGCTGGCCAACCTGGCTGGGGCTGGCAATGCCTGATGGGAGGGGTGTGCAGAATCCCGGAGCTGTGCGTGAGGGGCCCCAACCTAACCCCTCAGTGTGATGGCAGCCTTCTCCTCGTGCCCCCACGCCCCCCACTGTGAGAGGAGAGAGGAAACAGGGAGCCCGTCAGAAGGGACCTGCGCCTTGCCGGTTTGTAAGCGAGTCAGCTTCCCTGGAGGGAAGCACCAGGGCTACCGCCTGGTCCCTGGGTTCCCGCACAATGGGGGGGGGGGGGCAGCTCTGTGGTGGAGACACAGGAAGATGTGTGTCGGCAACAGCAGCTATGGGAAAGGCACTTACTCCAGAGAAAGGAACAGGCTCAGAAGGGTGAGGTAAGTGGAGAACTTAGGGCTCACACACAGGCGTTTGTACCCCCCCAAGGGGTCATGAGGCCTGCACTGACTTCTCACATGAAAACAAACCCGTGCTATTTGAGTCCCTCCTGGAGAGTTCCCTTGGACGGCCAACGTCTGGCACGTACTGTGTGCTCACCACACCCCTGCACGTCCCCGCTCTGTGTTAGACCCTTCACATGCATCTGTCTCACTGCATCCGCATAGCAGGGAAGGCAGGAACTGCTGCTGCATCCATTTTACAGAAAAGGAAGCTGAGGCTCAGAGAGGTTAAGTAACTTTCCTAGAGCCCCACAGCTGGTAAGTGGGAAAGCCGGGCTTTGAGCGTCAGGCTGACCTTCTACCACGGCTGCGTTTAAACTGTGTGTGGGTGGCCCTTTGGTGTTTGGGTTCACATACAGGGGTGCACACCTGGGGGATCAGAGAAATATAATATCTGGAGAGATGGGTGACTTAACCCATGGCAGAGACCTCGGAGCTATGCATGAGCAGATTAGGCAGACTGTAAAAATGACTTATTCCGCAAGATATTTGTGTGCAACTGGCCAAGTCGTTCAATGCACTGTGTTAACAGAACGTGATGTACTAGACAAAAAATGGTCTTCCTCTGATCTTCCATATCAGCATGTGAAAAGGTGCTCAACTGCACTAATAATAAGATTAGCTGAGTTAAAACAAGATACAATCAGCATAGACTAAAAAGAGCATTAGTGTCTGTCTAGTCAAGAATGTCCCTATAAAAAAACAAACTGGCACCATTGCTTAAGGTCCTGAACCCCAAATAAACGTGGGGGTCCCTAATACTCTCTAGAGTCAGAGGAAGGGGAAATGGCACACATGGGCAGGGTGGCGTGGTCACTCACATCCCTTAGAATGTCAGTGTCAGTGACCCTGCGGGTGGCCAGCAGCAGGAGTCTGGGGCAGTGTGTTGTCCCTGAAGGGTCTGGGTTTGGACCAAGGCTTGAAATGCACCCCCACCACTTGGCAGCTGGTAACCTTGGGTCATTTACTTAACCTCTCTGAGTTTCTGCTTCTTCATTTGTAGGAGAGGAGGAGAATTCTTCAGAGAGGACATATACCCTTACCACATAGTAGGTCCTCACCGTATTCCCCTTACCCCTCAGGCCTGGCCCTGAGACACCAGTGGCCCAAACCTCTGCTCCCCTCCCATGATGACTGTACCTTCGGCCCAGGTCTACATAGCTCCCCAGCTGACTGGCAGTGAGGGCCCACAGGATCCGAGGACACAGTGAGGCCCCGGGCCCCTTCATGTGGGCTTCTGGGAGAAGGGCAGGCCCCCTGCAGCTCCCAGTTTGATGGCTGACTCACTTACCAATGCAAACTGGGAAGGCTACCTTGCTCTGTGACACACCCAACTCCCAGACACTTCCAAATGTCCAATCTCCTCCCGGGCGGGGCTGGTTCAGCTTGGTCACCAGAGGCGCGCGCGTGCGCGCGCGCACACACACACACACACACACACACATCCAATTGTAAGTTACACTGAATTGATAAAGTACCTGGCTAATGTGGCTAGAAAAAAGCAACAAGGACTCAGGGGTCTTCACCCTGGCCTGGCCCCCCGCTCTGTGCCTTTGAGCAGATCGCCCACCTGCTCTAAGTCTGGATTTCCTCCTCTGTGAAAGGGGGATGGCAACATCTGCCAGGAAGCAGGGAAGCAAGCAAGCAGGATTGTGCTGAGGGTGTGAAAAGGGCAGGGCCTGGGTGAGAGGGGAGGCTAAGGGAGCAGGAAAGGAGAGTGGCACCATGTGGGCGTCCAGAAGGGCCGCCCTGGGAAGTGACATTCTGCCTGGAGTGTGAAGGAGCAAGAGCTCAGCACACGCCAAGGCATGGAAGTGGGGCATTTAGGGACAGGTGAGGGACATTCCTGCCAGTTTCCCTGGCTTGTGTCCCCCTATCTGTTATGGGCCAGGACAGAACACTATCTCTGTCCCAGGTCGCTCTGCCCTCCCGCCCTGCCCTCCTCTAAGTCTCTGAGTGTCAGCGACCCTCCCAGGGGGCATAGTTGCCTTTACACTAAGAACAGTGATTGCAAGGAGCAACTCAAGGATGGTGCCCAAGTCCACAGGTCACCATAGCCTGCTCTGGCCCGGGGGGAGCAAGAAATGGAGCCCGATAACTGGAACGAATACCCCAGGGGGGCCGCAGTGCCCAGAACTATGTATGGCCCTTGCATCAAAAGATGGGAAGGGCTCCGTAGGACAAAGGGCCCTCAGGACCCTCAAGTCTCAGATGGCTGTCACTGGCTTTCACATGGGGACTAGGACTGTGCAGATGACCAAATGCCCATTTTTTCCAACGTCCTCTTGAGGAGAAGATTCTGGAACCATGCCACCAGAAGGCCAAGTATTTGGGGTGTCTCATTGGTGCAGAGGCTCCCTTTCCCAATATGAAAGTGAAGTAGCAGTGAAAGTGGATGAGAAAGTACTTTGGGAGCCTTGGGAGCTCTGTACGTAAAACATAGTAGGTGTTTAATAAGTGTTGGATGGGTGGGTGGATGGATGGATGGATAGAAAGATGGATGACGGAAGGGTAGATGGATGATGGATAGACGATGAACAGATAGCTGTGCATATGAATGTATGAGAGCATGAATAAATCAGTGAGCCATTAGGCAAATGGGTGGAAAACCAAATGAGTGAAGGAATAAATAAGTGTTTGAATGAGTAAACAAGTTAGTATCTAAGTGAATGAACTTCTGGTTCAGAAGTTTAGAACAGGAAACCCAATTTGTTATCACTTTGCTTAGGCGGAGGGAACCCCTAGAAAGAATGCAAGGAGGAGGAGAGAGCACCCCGAATCTGGAGTAGACTGCACTTTCAAGGTTCTGAAAGGAAGCGCCGCCCCTCAGCTTCCTGGAGAACTGTGCGTACTCGGAGTAGGGTGAAGTGCGCCCACACTCCGGGCAACACCCCTCAGCCCCAGCTGGGCCTGGTCCCAGCCCTGGAGTATTGGTCAGGCGTGTTAGGCCACAGTGCAGTGACTCCGATCCTGGCCCTTGCCAGCACCTCCCCAGGGGAGGCTGTGATCCAGCCCACCCACTCGCTGCTGTGTTTCTTAAAAACATCAACAGCACAACATTAAGTGGCATCGCCCAGTCTAGGGAGGGCCTGGCATATCACGATGGATCTTGAGAAATATATCTCAGTTAAGAGTCAGAAAAATGGGCCACTTCCAGGCCGTGTGACTTTGGATATGTTACTTAACCTCTCTGACCCTCAGATTCTTTACCTGAAAATGGAACTATGACCCACAGGGTTGTCACGAGGATCAAGGAAGACAACTCACGGGAGGCACTCAGCACGGGGACAGGCACACAGCAGCGGGCACTAGGCCATGGCTGAGCTATGACGTCTCTTGGGGAGCCTATTATTAGAGGATCACAGGGCGTGTTTATCATATACATACACACACACACACAATCTGCCTTCTAGAACAAAATACTAAAAAGGGGGCCTCACTTCGTATCGTCAAAGGCCCGGGGGTCTCAGCCTCCCACCAGCGAAGGGTATCTTCCCACAGCACCCCCCGCAGTACCATCGAGAGCTGCTTACCTGCCAGGGGCCCCGAGGTGCTGTCTCTCCTGCCTTCTGCTCCAGGTGCTCCCAGGACTGTGACAGATGTCCTCCCTGCAGTGCTGGGCACTGTTCACTGTCCCTCAAGGGCTGAACAGCCCTCAGGAGGATCTTCTGGTTCCTCAGGAGTGGCTGGGGGCAGGATGATGGCGCTTGGTGGCTCGCCTGGTTTCCCTAGGGCAGCACAGAAGCTGAGCCCCGGGCACCGCCTGCAGCGCAGGGGGCAGAGGTGACTAAGGAGTGCGTGGGACTCCACGGAGCAGCAGTTGGAGAAAATGCCAGACAGAGCCTGAGAGAAGGTTCAGTCACAGGGGATGTTTGTTACCAAAAGTGTTTATTCAAGGTCAGGAAAGCTCCCAGGAAAACATGGGTTGCCAAAATCTCATCAGCGAGAACAAAGCACGTGTGGAGGAAGAGGTATGTGTTGGGGGTGGGGGGGGGAGGCAGAGTAAGGGGTTGCGGGAGAATATATGAAAGAGAGAATATGTGTGTGATAGGCCCTAGTAGGGCCAAGGCCTGGGGGAAACAGGCACTTTAACGTACACCCTCGGTGTTACCGTATGGTGGGGGCAACCCGGCAAAAGCTGCAAAATGTGAATGCACAGACCTCAAGTTCAATAATTTCTCCTCATGGAATTTATCCTCTAGATAGAAGCACACTTTAAGAGTTCAAGGGTATTTACTGAAGCCTTGTCGGTAAGAACAGAGACCTTGTCCAGCAAATTTGGTGGGGCTCAGCTCCCAAAGGACAGCTCTCTACACAACACAAGGAACTCAGACTTTAGCCCTAGGACAATAGGGAGCCATAGAGGGCTTTAAGCAGGGGGAGGGACTTGTTCCAAATTGTGCTTTGGATGGATCCTTCTGACAGGGCAGAAAAGGCAGAACTGGGGAGACCAAACTCTAGACGAGCTAATAATTCAGGCTCCTTGCTCTCTCCTCTGGGTAGTTTAAGAGCCTCGTTGTGACTGGTGGGATATGGGGGGGCAGAGGAGGGGACACCTGGAGGGCCTGTCCCCTTCTGCCACCAACTCTGCTGCCCCTGGGCAGCCAGTGAGGGTGTGAGGTCAGGGGATTTCTTCCAATGACAGAACACCGTGCCTCCCCACCATCTCCCCCACACTCCAGCATGGAGAAGGATTGGCACATTGGATCCACCAGGCCCTGACGGGCCTGGGCTCAACCCCAACTCCACCAGTATGACTGAGCAAGAGACTTGGCCATTCTTGCCTCATTTTCCCCATCTGTAAAATAGGGATAACCAAACACCCTACCTCAGAGAATTGTCAGGGCTAAAAACTGTTATGAACACCTGGAAAAGCACAGTACACAGTAAGTGCTTATGAAATGTGAGCTATTTTTATAACTAGGCATATGGTAAACGCTCTGTAGATATTTATAAAATGAGTGTTTGTTATTAAAATCAACCTAAAGGCTAATTAAGGAGGGAGTCTGAAATTGGAGAAAGGAAGTTGGCAGCAAGATTCCCCCATCCTTTGACCAGATGGGAGAGAGTCAGGGAGTCCCGGAGATGATCAAGGGCAGTTGAAGTCAGTGCCGGGGGTTAGGCCCAGGCCCCATAGCTTGTTCAATGAATGGACGCGGCCAGCCCTGCAGGCTTGTTAGGGGTCTCCTGAGCACAGGAACCTCCTTGTTTCTTTAATATGGACCCACACCTCCTGGCCCAGCCCTGTCCTAGGACTGCCTCTGAATTCAGTTGGCCAACTTCTCCCTTTGTGCCTGCTTATCCCATCTTCACAGACTTGGGCTCCTCCCCGGGGATCCTGGGAGGTCGTCTGTAGTGGGCGAAGAGCTGGGTCCTTTGGAGGCTTTTGTGTGTCCATTGGTGGAAGAGACGAGTCGGGGATCCCAGGGAAGCACCTCCCTTGGCAGTCTTCTTCCCTCCCCGGTCGGTCTCTCCCATCCACCTTGGCCACTGACCACTCTGCTGACTCCAGGAAAACCAGGCTGGAAAAACATGGAAGGTTGGGTCTAGGGATGACAATGGAATGAAAGAGTGAGAGAGGAACAGATACACAATGCGGTGGGCTCTATATATAAATGAGACAGGATTCTTGAGCAGAATCCAAAAAATCTCCTTTTCTTACCCCACTAATTATACACAAAACAGGACAGGCTACATTATTTGTGGGCTCATTAAAAAATGAACGTGTGGGGCCCCTCATTCAAAAATTAAGAATTTTAAGACAAGTAGCAACAGAACATTAAACCAAGCATGAGGCTCTTCTGATCATGGAACTTCATGGGACTACACAAGTTACCACCCACGAAGCTGGTCCTGAACACAAAACTGTTGAGCGCATGCACATGTGTATGTGTCTCTAGGGAAAGCACGCTCAACTGTCAAGGTCATGACCCACAAAAGTTAAGAATCAGTGTAACTGAGGTTAAGTGAGGGTCCCTGCTTCTCACTCTACCTCCTTTCTCTACTCAGACAGGCAGGGGCTCCACATTGTGACCCACAGTGGGCACAGGGGGGATTAGTGACACGTTGCATCAGCTGACTTGGAACAGGGTAGGCCACAGTGGCTGTGGGAACAGAGGCAAGTGGATGCATGAGAGACAGAGTTTAGGACTTACTGATGGACTGGATGTGGGCTGAAAAGAAAAGGTGTCTATGGTTCAAGGAATGAGACCAACCAATGGAGGCGCTGTTCACAGAGATGGAGAGAAGCTGGCAGAAGAGCAGGTGCTGTGTTTTGCTTTGTTGGGTAGCCAAGGGAACCAAGACTCCCATTCTAGCCATGAAAATGTGTCAGGCAGATAATAGAGCTGAGAAGGAAGACAAGAGCATCAGGGTCGTTGGCATAGGAATGACATTTAACTCTACTGAAATGGAGGAGGCCTTTCCAGGTTTCCAGGTGCCAGAGCCCTGTTCCTTTGGGCAAATTGCTTAACTCCACTGCCACTTAGAGTCCTCGTTTGCAAAATGGAGGTAAGAATAATAGCCTCCTCACAGGATTTCATAAATGAGCTTGTGAAAGGGAAATGCTATGCACAGGCCCTGGTAGCTATTAAGGTATCCAGTGAGAATCAGCCATCGTGATCATCATCATCATGTCATTCCTTCGACGAGTATCCATTGATCCCCCATTGTGTGTCAGGCATTGCCGGGAGTGCTCTGGATTTGGATGCATCAATCATTGAGCATGTCAGAAGGTGGTAAGTGCTACCACATAAGACAATCTAGAGCAGGCTAAGGGGTACATTTGAGCTCAACCTCAGAGATGAAGGAGTGCACCAACTGGATGTGGGGGAGAAGAGTTCCAGGCAGAGGAAATAGCCAGTGCAAAGACCCTAAAGGAGGGTGGTGGGAGGTGAGGTCACACAGGTAAAGGGTAGGGGATCTTTGTGAAGGAACTCTTCATGGCAGAAGAGCCTGGTCCTCCAACATGGCAAAAACAGGTCTCCAAGAGAATGAGGCAGAGTGTTCCCCAACATGGCGGAGACGACAAATCTCTCCAGCATGGTGGAGGGAACAGACCTCCAACACAGCAGCTGCCCTTGGCTTTGGGTAGGACCCGAGGCTTCCCCTACCTGCCTCCCGCCTCCACCAGTCCCCAGAAAGGTCTCACCTGGCTGAAAAGGCTCACCACAGGGCTTCTCCTCCTCTTGACTATTGATTGTCCCCTCCCAGCAAAACATAAGCCTCCAGGGCTCCCAGTCAACGCATAAATCTGAGTCATTTTCCTCTGAATCTGTGGAGGTAGAAGACAAGGCCTCTTGGGTGGTTACATCCTGTCTTCTACCTCTGACCCAAAATGAGCCCCCTGCCAGGCCCAGGCATCCCTGAGACCAATGGGCCAAGGCAGAATTATGACTTATGGGACAGCTCAGAGATCTCAGAAGACCTCAGAAGGACCTTGAAGGTGACCAGGGACCAAAACAGTTGTCCTATGACTCAGAAGGTGGCTGTATCTACCTAATAGGGAAGGGCCCTAGAGGAGAGCAAATGACCTACCTGTATTGGGTGTGGTCCAAGGGGGGGGCACTGAGGAGACACAAACTCAACCATTGACCCATCCATCCGTTTGTCCACCAGTCTGTTTATTAACAAATATCTGAGTGTATACATGCAATGATTTCCACTACAGCACTGTTTTGTGGTGCAGCATGCACAAGCAATAAAATACCCTGGAAACTGTGTATCTCTGTGTGTGTGTGTGTGTGTGTGTGTGTGTGTGTCCATCACAGGAGATCTGGTTGATGGAAGTGTAGGACACTTGCACCGCATAAAGAGCTGGCCCATCCATCCAATGGCAAGTCAGAAGCTGTTAAGACAATTGCAGTGAGATCTGTAGCTTTCAACTTGCAGGAGGTCTATGAAATATTACAAGCAACTTTCAGAGAAATATATAGTAGGATCTCCTCCCTTTTTTTGAAAAACAAGTAACAATCCTGCCCTTTCCCCAATTTTTTTTGGAAAACCTACATGTGTTATTAAATAGGTGCATGGGCTTGTAAACATGGCTTATCTTGAGAAGGTGAGGTCAAGGAGAAAGGAGAGGAGATGGGGGAGGTTCTTTCTCTTACTGTACTTGTAAGATGTTTCACTGGTTGCAGATAAGGAGGCTGAAGAGAGCCCTCAGCTTGCAGACCAACAGCAGGAGACAGAAAAGGCAGTCTCAATTTCCTCATCTGTAAAATGGGCATATTACAGCCTCTTCTACGATGAGGGTTAACTTAAGTAGAATGTGTGTGTAAATCAGGTGTTCAACAAAGTCGCAGTTATGATTTAAAAATCAGTGGGAAGCTTTGAAGGGACTGCTCTTCACTACAGATAGGGATTGTTTTATAAACACGTGAGATATGCTAACTGTTCTGCATGCATTTTTCTCATTTAATCCCGTGAACAACTTCGAGAGGCGATAACTAGTTATTTGTATTTTACAGATGAGGATGGCTCGGAAAGGTGAAATGTCCAGGCTCACAGCCAGGAAGCGGCAGTGCTGGACTCACATCAGCCTCCTGGCACCGCCCCCTCCCACCCCACCCCCAACCCCCGCCCGCAGTTCCATCAGGTGCGCTTGTTTGAGGTCAGGGAATTCAAAGGTAGCTTTGAAGGACCACCATGAGGGTGGGCAAGACCCTCAAAAGGCACGTTTCGGCCTTAAATCCATCTTGTTAGAGGCTCCCCTTCTTCCTTCGGCAAATTCCTTTCCAGTCGCAAAGGAAATGTCCTCAGCAGAGCATCTCTCGCTTGAAGGGCACCATGTGGCTTCATCCTCTGTCTTCACGTCATGGTCCGGGATTGGTGTTGTCCCCACCGGCCAGGGCTTCTCCAGGGCTCAGTCACCCACAACTCTTCTTGCCTCAACGGCAATCTTGCCAGGCAGTTCCCTTCTCCCCACGACGCTCCCCTGGCTGCTTGAGAAGGCAGGTCTGTTTGAGAAGGCATGTGGCACTCCCTGCTCACGCCGTCTGCCTTCTGGGCCCTGGCACTGCCCTGCGGAGCCGGGCCGGCTGGGGGTGGGGAGGGGCAATCAGAGCTCGCCCTGCTTGCTTTTCACACTGGACTGCAGGTCAAACTGATCGCAGTAAAAAGATCCAAAGCAGAAGAGCAGAGCACAGGCCAGGGTGTCCCGAGAACCAGCTCCCTCAACTCCTGGCAGGCCCAGACCCCTGGCATGAGGACAGAGCCGATGCAGTGACACCAAGAGCTCCCAGAAGACTGGGGGCCTGAGGGAAGACTGCTCCCCTCACAGTCTGGTCATTGCACATTACCGAAGGCCTCATTGCCAAGGGCCATCTGAGATGTCTGGGGAAGCCTGACGACAGGGCAGGCTGTGGATGGTTTTAGAGCAGGGCCTTCAGGGACAAGGAATTGCTGGAGATTAGCGCCTTAGACCTTGGGTAAGGTGTCTCCTCACGTCCAGAGGAACCATCCAAAGCCATGCCGATACGTCCTCCTGCCTTGACAAAGAGCAAACACTGACTGGATTATTTCTCAGCCTATGAGCACCTACTAGGTGCCACAGGTATACATGTACTGGATACCCTACCCTTGACACGCATCTCTCCCCAGCCCCAACTGGAAGGGACCCTTGTTATCTCCGTTCTGTCGATGAGAAACCCAAGGCTCAGAGAGGACTTGCCCAAAGTCACAGAGCTGGTAGGCGGCAGAGCCAGGATGTGACACCAGATAAGCGGCGCTCATAGGTACTTCGTAGGTGTGTGGCCTGGGCATGCTGCTTCTCTCCCCAAGCCTCAGTTTCCTCAATTGTACCATAAGAATTACTTCGCAGGGTTATTCTGAGGATTAAATGAAATTATGCGCATCAGTGTTTAACACAAGCCTTTGCACAGTGTAGAAAAAATGCTGGCAATTATATTAAGGGGCAAGGTTAAAATCTGAGCCTACGTTTCCTAGACTCTGGAGAGACGTCATTTATAGCCACACAGACAAGTGCTCTGACCCACCGGCCACCAGCCCGCTGTCTGGGTTTCGTCCCTCAGGCGGGCTGCAGTCTACCCTGGGAATACGAGAACATATTTTATTTTTATTTATTTATTTATTTTTTTTTTAATTTATTTCTAGGAGAGAGAGAGAGGGAGAGACAGCGTGAGCAGGGGAGGGTCAGAGAGAGAGGGAGTCACAGACTGAAACAGGCTCCAGGCTCTGAGCCGGCAGTCAGCACAGAGCCTGACGCGGGGCTCAAACCCACGAACCGCGAGATCATGACCTAAGCGAAAGTCGGACGCTCAACCGACTAAGCCACCCAGGCGCCCCATGAGAACATATTTTAAATAGACGTTTTCTGGACACTCTCGCCAGGAACTCCCAATAATGGCGCCACTACCAGCACCCCACATCTGAGAGCATGGGGTGCGTTTGGGGGTGAACCGTGTACCCGTCTCAACGCCGTGTGGCCACAGCTGGCAGCATGTCGGCACCCTCCCCGCCCAGCTGGCCAAAGGTCACGGAGCTGAGGAGCAGGAGGTGGGAGGTCAAGCGTCCCCTAGGAAGAGACATAGGATACCTGAGGAGCAGAGGGTCACCCCTGCCACTGGCCCCCAACTTCCCTCACGGCCAGCTTCACCCCGCCTCCTGCTCCTCATGGAGGCATGCTGAGCTCGGGGCAGTGTCAGCCAGCCTCGGTGATCTTGCGTCCCAGAGAACCCAGATCCTCCCTGAGGTACAGTCTGGGAAGAAAGCAGTGTGGGTGGTCTCTGGACCCGTGATAAAGGCCTAGGGCTGCCATATCCCATTGTGTAAGCGGTTTACTGCGCAAAAACTACCCAGTTGAGGGAGCAGGAGGGGCTGAAATCTTCCCCCAGCCTTGTGCCCTGGGTATATTCACAGGAGACGGGCCCCTTTTACTGCTTCACCTGCCCAGAGGGGCCACCTCTTTCTGATTCGTACCAAAGACCTTCTGTGCTAGCAGTGGCCCTCAGGGGGCACAGGTGTGCACACGCACATACTGCTTCCCGAACTTGGGGACTCACTCTTGGCCTCTAGGTTAAGAAACGAAACTACTCAATTAATCCTTTCCCCTACAGGCAACTGCTTGTCTCAGCCAGCCCAGCGGTTAAGGTTAAAGCGCAGGAAGGAAATCCCTGTCTCCGCCATTGCTTCAGGACCCCCTGCCGGGCCCCAGGATTAGGGCCCCACCGAGCAGCTCACCTTGGCTAAGTAAGAAGCGTAGCCAGACGATCAGCAAGACCAACAGCAAGCCCACGGGCAGGCAGAGCCAGAAGACCAGGAAAGAAAATGTGAGGTCGTCCACCAGCGGCACCAGCGGGTACTTCATGGTGCGTGTGTGGCGAAGCCGGGCCTGCCTGTGCTGGGCTGGCAGGGCTGCCCTGGGGACCTGGTGGGCCGGGCCACACTCTGCTCTCACTCAGCCCAATTGTGACTGGGTGGGTGACGTAATAAGGAAGCCACGGGTCCTTCAGACAAAGGGAGAGCTGTTCTGCACTAGTGCTTTGGGACTGGGGGCTGGCGATCAGTGGCAGTGGAGACGGTTTGGCTGAGAACAAAAGCCCAGGCTTCCAGGCAGGCCGGCGCGGGTTTGAATCCCTGCTAAGACGCTAGGGGTTCATGAACACCTCCTCAGGTCCTCTTGTAAGATGGAAATAATTCTTACCTCACCGAGCTGCTAAGAGCAGGAATAAATGACAGAAGGAGCATCGCCCTCGGGGGGCATGCATGTATTCTGAGGTCACAGATTCCCTCAGGGGTCAGCTGGATCCCGGGTCCTGTCACTCTGGCGACAGGTGCCTACATCAGCACCTGGGGCAGGGACAGGGGCTGTGGCAGCCTGGGTGGAGCGCGGTGCATCTAAAGCAGGCGGCTGTCACCACTTCAGGCAGTGAGTGCCGGGTGGGAAAGGCAGGTCAAGTATCACCACATCTCCGGGGCGCCCGGGTGGCTTAGTCGGTTAAGCGTCCGACTTTCGCTTAGGTCACGATCTCGCTGTTCGTGGGTTCGAGCCCCGCGTCGGGCTCTGTGCTGACTGCCAGCTCAGAGCCTGTGACTCCCTCTCTCTCTGACCCTCCCCTGCTCACGCTCTCTCTCTCCTAGAAATAAATAAAAATATTAAAAAAAAAAAAAGTATCACCACATCTCCTTTTCCAAGAGAAGCCCCCAAATCCTCATTCTTCAGTGAATTCTCCCAATTTAGAATTGTTGCATCAAACACTTAAAACACCATTGGCTAAACAAAAACAGGTCTGCTGGGCCAGCCTGCGTCACTGGACTGCCATTTAAAAACTTTCTAACACACGACAGGCCCTCAATAAATGACTATTTCATCTGGAAGCTTCTGTACCTCTCCTTACGAGTTTTCAGTGAGGGGCTTCTAAGGCGTCGGCCTTGCTCCTTTGTGTCCCAGATAGGGACACAAGACTCTCAAAAGCCATTCTTTTCTCTTCCCATCTCCTCTGTCATTCATCCATTCATGAAGAAGTTGGTACACCTCCATGTGCAAGGCCCTGTGGCAGAAGGAGGCTCTGGACCTCCCGGGTCCCAAATCCCTGCAGTGAAGGGAGACTCTGGTCAGACGGGGAACCTGACACGGATGACAAGATCACAGGCGGAACGGAAAGGCTGCTGCTGGTGGAGGGGAGGGAGGCATGAGCCCTCTCCTGTCCAAGAGGGTCCTGGACTAGCTGCCCAGGCACTACAGGCAGTGCCTGGGAAACACGCCAATTCCTACACTCCCCCTGCTCTGAGTCAAACTCCAGGTGAGGCCCGGACGCGACGTGTTCAGGAGCAGCCAGTCTGATGCAGCCCGGATTTGGGCATCCCCGCAACTCATGGAGCATGGGCTGGAGAGTCAGGCAGACCCAGTTCCAGGCTGGGAGAGCAGGCGCGAGAAGTGGGTGGCAGGCCTGGGGGAGAGACATGGGGCGGAAGGACGCTCTTAAAAGACACCTGCTCAGGGAGAAGGGCAAGTGGAGCCAGCCACAGAAAAACAGGGAACGGGTGGCAAGGCAGGGCAGGGGAGTGGAGGGGAGAGCTGGAGCTTGGAAGCCAGTGGTTTGAAACAGTTTTAGCCCAGTGTTGGGATGACTGGAGCCCCCAGAGGAGGAAGCTTGGGCAGATGGCATTAGAATGAGTGTCTAAGAAAAACAGTGCCTTGGCAGGCTGTGCCACTCAGAGTCCAGAGGCCAAGACCAGGAGTGGTCTGGGCTGAGGTTGGGGGGGATCGGGTGGGGGAATCTCTTGGCACTGGGTCCTGAAGAGGCCGGGGTCAGAAAGGGCTGAGTGGCACTGGTGGGAAAGGTTTGAATACACATTTTCTTGCCAGAGCCCAAAATAGGACCACTGTGCAATCAGCCCAAGGACACACTTCCTTGGCCGCCATGGACCAGCCAGAGTCCTGCGGGCAGAGCAAGCATGGACACACAACTGCAGGGGACGCGGCTCCCGGCCCTGGCTTCCAGGAGTTGGTTGCAGGGGTCGCACATTAACGTCCCGTCGTGGCAGTGCCAGGCTGGAAGAGACTCTTGACAGAGGCCTGCACCCACACCGTTCTCATCACTGGTTCCTCGAGTGGTATAACCACCCACGCGGATCTAGGCAGGAAGGTGCTCATCGCGCTGCATGGAACCTCTATAACCAGCCCTACTCACAGGGACAGCGGGTGGCGCGGGATGACCTCCCCTGCGTCTCTTCCCTTTCCTGACTGGAGCCCTGGCAGAGCCCGTATTTTCGGCAGCCAGAGAGCAGGGCCGGCACTTCCGTGTTCCTAAGACACAGCCAGCCAGGCCCTCGGTGAACACTAGCGCCTGGATGGTGGGCTTCTGTTGGTAGTGCTTCCACTGCACAAACCCTGTGGTAACTCTGTTCAGTGACAGAGAGTAACCGCACCTATCGAGGTGATCGATTCATAGTGTATAAAAATAGCAAATCATGGGGCGCCTGGGTGCCTTAGTCGGTTAAGCGTCCGACTTTCGCTTAGGTCATGATCTCGCGGTTCGTGGGTTCGAGCCCCACATCGGGCTCTGTGCTGACTGCCAGCTCAGAGACTGGAGCCTGTTTCAGTCTGTGACTCCCTCTCTCTCTGACCCTCCCCTGCTCATGCTGTCTCTCTCTCTCTCCTAGAAATGAAGAAAAAAAAAAAATAGCAAATCATTATGTTATACCCTGAAACTAAGACTGCGTGTTTAGCGTGATTCAATTAAAAATTATTTTTAAGAATTAATCCAATTTTGAGTATTCTGTGAAACTCTACAAAAGCAGGGTAAAAACCCACAGATCTAAATCATGACAGTCAGCCAAAGCAGAGCACGCGCACCCTGGAAACAGAAACTAGAAACACCCATTGCAGGAGTCAAACTTCAGCCTGTAACCAAAAGCACACAAAACATTGTTAGATAAGAATCTCCTTAAAATTTAATTGACTAAATGTATTACATTCAATATTCCATGGGTTTCTTCTGGACAAAGGATCGGCATAAATACAAACAAGCCTCTGGGCCTTCTTCCCTAACTGATGAAGAGAAAACACAGGAGGCGAGGGGACTCGGATACACCTTCGTATTTACATTTCGCCTTTACTTTACAGTTCAGTGCCAGAAATATTTACAGAAAATACAATAAGAAAAAGATCATGTCTTGGCAACATACCGAAATTCATACAAATTGTATATATGATTTCAAGCAAATAATGATACTGCTTATTTTTTAGCCACAACTGCCAAGCCCTTCAGAGGAGAAAGATGTTCTTGGTCACTGCAAGAGGCAAGGACTTGGGAAACTTGGTTTGCTTCAACAAATATTTATTGGGCGCCTACTATATGCAAGGCACTGTGGAATCCCAAATTACACCTTTTCCCTCACCATTAAAAAAAGAAAAACATCTGAAGAATGTGAGTTGACACTCTGAGAAAAACACTATACAGTACATGGCTTCTTCAGCTACTGAGAACCCACAGTTAGATTCCACATTTAGCGGGTGGATCACCTCCAATCTCTCCATCTCAGGAAAAGAGGCTGTCGTGGAAATCCTTAAAACAGGTAATCTAAATTCAACCTACTGTTTCATGTAAACACAGAAATCAATTCTTTTTAGGAAGATAGAACCTGAATGGGTTTTAAAACGCTGAATGGGGAACCACTGCCAGCAGGAGTGTCACATCTACCACGTATCTTTGAGCAAGGCTGATTCCCACTCTGGGTAAAGTTCCACCTTCCAACAGAAATAAATACTCTTGAAGACTCCGTCTCTCTCAAAATCACTCTGTGGAGCCTGATAAATGCTTCCCCAGAGTGTGTAGAAAGTAACCATTCACAAAGGCTTCATACGCACAACCCATGGACAACTGACATTACTGGCCAGAGATGCAGGTTTTTGTTGTTCGTTTGTTTTGCGTTTTACGGAAGTCCAGAGGAGAAGGGGCTGCCCTGAAACCGAGGACCTGGGCATGGAGGACAGCAGTGCACCTACACGGCAGGGCAGCCCCCCACGAAGCCATCCCATGCAGAAGGCCAGTGCTAGGCAGGAGGAGGTCTCAGGAGGAAGCACGGGACAAAAGCGGGAGCTGGCTGAACAAGAAAAGGCAAAGCTTCCTGTCACCAGTGCTCCCAACCAGAAAAGAGGAGTAAAGCCCCCATCTCCCAAATGGGAAAATGGACTATGAGGGGCTACCTGTCTCTGTCCCTTGGGTAATGCTGTCCTCACCAAATGGCACACTCAGCCGCCCCCTCATACACCTGTCAATGTAGCAACTGCACTGTTTAACCCACAGACCAAAGTGGTCCTGGCTTCCCTTCGAGGTTATGAATACAGGCTGGCAACTTTATCAAGTGGACTACTGAAAGTTAACACTAGGGACTAGATCTGATCATTAAACTCAAAGTGATTTTTAACAAAGGCAGTTGGGTGAACTTAGTCACCATGAACTCAAACCCATACCAGTGAAAGGTTCCAAGGGTTCTTACTCCCTTTTCAGGTTGATGTTATCTTGAGCAGAAGGGACAATTCCACACTTAGCACCTCACGAGGTATATGTACCCTCTATTTTGTTTGTGCTGTACACAGTGGGGGGTTCCAGGCCTTTGGGGGCTGCACAGCTCTGAAACACCCCTCCTTCCCTGGGAGACCGATCACAGCATCTTCCAGACGATACAAACTGCATTCGACACAATTATTCACGTATCAAAGCCACTAGCATTACATAGAGTTGCCAGAAACTAGAGCAAACTAAAGGATCAGGAGGCCTACCCCCAGCACACACATCACCGTATGGTTTTCTGACAGTAAAACTACGCTAAAGGGAAAAGTTTTATCTGAAGAATCACACCGACGAAGTACACCTACATCAGTTATTTTTAACCTCTGGAATGTTACAAGTTGCATATCAATTTAGGCCTTCTTTGTTCATGTCAACTAGGAAAAGGGCCCATTTTTCCCTTGAAATGCCAACCTGGAATTTCCATGGAAGTTGTTAAGCCTCACCTTATACCTGCTGAGTTAATAAAACATTTTTAGGGTAGAGTTTATTTATCTTTAGCATACCCCCTCCCCATACTACCAACTGGAAACATTGATTTATTGCCCAGATTAAAAAGAAAATCAGTTATTCAAT